CTTTCGAGTGAAAGCAAAAGAAATTCTACTCTGCCCCAGTGGTCGCTGACTAACATTTCTTTTATTCTATCAGCAAAGTGCCGTTAACCCCATTTTCGACGGGCGATATTTATCAGTGTATCCCTACTACAAGGTGGAATATGTATACTTTACCTTTTCAACTTAGATTGTAAGCTCCTAACCCTCTTGTATGGAACTGTGTTGTTGCTGTATTGTCTCCCGTTATAATGTACAGCGCTGAGAAAACTGTTGGCGTTATATAAATCCTGTATTATAAAAACAACAACAACAACAACTGGTATTAACCACGTGACCTCCGGAAGGTTTTGCCACCTTTATAAACAGGCCATTTTTTTGCTGTTCAGAACTGAGCATCTTTAACTGGAAACTACTCAGTCATGCAACACTGTTCCCAAATGAAATTTATATAATTTTTTTTCACACAAAAAGAGCTTTCTTTTGGTGATATTTGATCACCACTGTTTTTTTATTTTTTATATAAACCAAAAATAGCAGATATTTTGTAAAACAATACAAAAAAAAAAATAAAAAGATACTGTTATAAAACATACAGTATCCGATAAAAAAAATCATATTTCTTCATAAATTTAGGCCAAAATGTATTCTGCTACATGTCTTTGGTCAAAAGAAAAATCCCAATAAGTCTATATTAATTGATTTGTGTGAAAGTTATAACGTCTACAAACTATGGTATATATATTATTATTATACAGGATTTATATAGCGCCAACAGTTTGCTCAGCGCTTTACAATATAACGGGAGACAATACAGTTCAATACAAGAGGGTTAGGAGGGCCCTGCTCCTTGGAGCTTACAATCTAAGTATACTAGAATTTATACAGCTATGACGCTATCATGTCAGCGTCTTATAGTGGTACTGTGATAGTGTGGCAGGCAATCTGGCACTAACAGACACTGAGAGGTACACAAACGGACTAACACTGACATCAATAGTGACACTAATACAGTGACCAGCTATAATACTATACATGATCACTGTACTAATGACACTGCCTGAGAAGGGGTTAACATCAAGGAGCAATCAAGAGGTTAACTGTGTGCCTTACAAGTGTAATGTGTCGCTTTTACTTTTTTTTGTTTTTTATTGAAATATTGATGAATTTTTCAGATAAACAAGTTATACAAACATACTCATTAAAACCTTAACATATTATCAAAACATTTATCATTTCAACCCTCCCCCCCCTCCCCCAACCTATATACCACCCCCCCCCCCCGTCCCCCATCCAATCCCTAACTCCTTCTGCCCTGCATTTTCCTGTTTATTTCTGGAGATCATAATCCCTATAAAAGAAGAACAAAATATGTTTCCATATTATTCTATGTTAATCCCCCATAACCTCTAAGGCTAGCCTTGACTTTTTGAACTCCTCCCATTTGTTCCATCTTGTATGGTGACTCTCCATCTTATCTTCATTCAAATGATAAAGTTCCTCCAATTTACATATTTGATCCACCCTATCCACCCAGTCTTATTCTCGGCACCTCCTGTCTCCTCCAATACTTGGGTATCAGTCCCTTTGCTGCATTCAAATAGTACAATAAACCAGATTATTTGTATTTTTTAACTGAAACCTTAGTACTAATAAAAAGGCAAATCACTGGGTCTACTAGAATATCAACCTCTGTAATTTTCTGAATCAAGCTTACTATTTACCCCCAATACTCTTGTATTTTAGAACACTCCCACCATATGTGATACATTGTGCCTCTACCTCCACGCCAACATACAAACTATGGTATATATATTATTATTATTATACAGGATTTATATAGCGCCAACAGTTTGCTGAGCGCTTTACGATATAACGGGAGACAATACAGCAACAATACAGTTCAATACAAGAGGGATAGGAGGGCCCTGATCCTGGGAGCTTACAATCTAAGTATACTAAAATTTATGCAGCTATGATGCTATCATGTCAGCATCTTATAGTGGTACTGTGATAGTGTGGCAGGCAATCTGGCACTAACAGACACTGAGAGGTACACAAACTGACATCAATAGTGACAGTAATACAGTGACCAGCAATAATACTATACACTATCACTGTACTAATGACACTGCCTGAAAAGGGGTTAACATCAAGGGGCAATCAAGAGGTTAACTGTGTGCCTTACAAGTGTAATGTGTCACTTTTACTTTTTTTTTTGTTTTTTATTTAAATATTTTTGAATTTTTCAGATAAACAAGTTATACAAACATACTCATTAAAACCTTAACATATTATCAAAACATTTATTGTTTCATCCCTTCCCCCCTCCCCCAACCTATATACCACCCATCCCCCCCCCCCCCTCACCCCAATCCAGTCTATAACTGTGTGCCTTACAAGTGTAATGTGTGTAATGTGCGGCTTTTACTAAGAGATCTGGCTGTTTTTTCTCCCTGTTTTTCAGGAACAAGAAACAGCCAGATCATTGTTCGTGTACAGAGTCCTGTGTGTCTGTATCACTGTGCTGTGATTGGAAACCGATCAAAAACTGATCAGCAGGTTTCAGCCATAAAACACTGGCTAAAGAAGAAAGCCGGCAATACATTTTATGTTAGCCAAGCCTACACTTGCGCCCACTCGCAGTACATTTACCGTGAGTGGATGGCAAGTGGATAAGCTCTAGCTTTTAAAAGCTGCTAACAGGTAGAGTTTTTATGACAGAAAAGACCCCATTGGTCTCTTCTGTCATAAATTTCCCCCCTGCATGTCAGCTGTCATGTACACTGATCTTTCTGTGCAAAACCATTACACAGATAAGGTAATAATAACCTCTTTTTTATAAAAACAAACAAAAAAAAAAAACAAAAAACAATTTAGTATCAGTAGTTTGCAAGCTATGAAAAATGTGAGAGACGCCCTTAAAATACTTGCAACAACCGGTTCTGTAAGAGTCTGTTGTACCCAGGGGAATATTTATTTTGCTTAACTATGAGAATTGTATTTACATAGGCAACACTACAGGATTTCGGCTGACCATCAAAGCTATTATAATACATTTTGTAGTCTGAAATGGCAAATACATGGACGCGCACGCACGCACGCACGCACGCACGCACGCACACACACAATTAAATAGCATGGGGGAGATTTACTAAAACTGGAGCACTCAGAATCTGGTGCAGCTGTACATGGCAGCCAATCAGCTTCTAACTTCAGCTTGCTCAATTAAGGTTTGACAATAAAACCTGGAAGCTGATTGGTTTCTATGCAAAGATTTTGCACCATGCAGTTTTAGTAAATAACTTTCACGGAATCTGAGAAGTAGTGGAATGACCCGAGGAAGGATGGGACACTATATATTTTATTTATTTATTTCAGGTACTTATATAGCGCCGTCAGGTTACGCAGCACTTTACGTATATATTGTACATTCACATCAGTCCCTAACCCTCTATTAATGGTTATTAGATTTTCCCACCTCTATTCAGTAATAGAAGAGATGTAGACAAAGCCATGCAAATGCAGTGCACGTCATGACCTCTTATTATTTATTAATTTCAGGTACTTATATAGTGGCGTCAATTTACGCAGCGCTTTACATATATATTGTACATTCACATCAGTCCCTAACCCTCAAGGGGCGTACAATCTAAGGTCCCTACCTCACATTCATACATACTAGGGCCAATTTAGACAGGAGCCAATTCACCTACCAGCATGTATTCGGAGTGTGAGAGGAAACCAGAGTAGCCGGAGGAAACCCACGCAGGCACAGGGAGAACATGCAAACTCCAGGCAGGTGGTGCCATGGTTGGGATTCGAACCAGCGACCCTAGTACTGCCAGGCGGAAGAGCTAACCATTTAGCCACTGTGCTGCCCTACCTCTTGAACTGATAGACATAAGGGTCTGTATAGACTGGCTTTTTGTTTGCTTCATACAGGTTTTGCATGTCCATACAAGTATATGGGAATGCAAAACACATTAAAAGCAGGTCAAACGTAGGCTAAAAGGAAGTCAACTGCAGGTTAAATGCACCTATCCATGAATTGTAAGTTCTCTTAGAAGTGTCTCAAACTGCTGTTAAACCCCTTGCTGACGCCTCCTGCCAACCCTTTAAGGGTTCTGAAGAACAGGAGGTGAAGGCAAAGCTCCCGATTATGTGACTGCTGTGATTGGCTGTAGCAGCAGTCACATGATCAGAAACACCTCCCTCAGGAGTTTGGGAGCTATCAGTGACAGTTTGGGTGTGTGTCTTGCATGTGCACTCTCAGCACACAACAGTGATGCACCATGGATGCAAAGATGTAGCACAAAGGCCTCAAGGCTCACCTCCTGCTACCACATATATGCACGGGGCAGTCAAAAAAGGTTAAACTGAAGCCATCAACACAAGCCCAAAGCAAGTAGACACCAACCCAATCCTATTTGGTAGCATGAACTGCTGAAATGCATTAATGTCAGAGTATCAAAGAGTAGTAGCAAGTTGAGAGGCTGCAGCAATGATTGATCTGTCAGATATTTTAGAACAAAGCCAAGAACTGCACAGGAATGATGATGTTTGACATGACTGCCTTGAGGTGGCATCTCAATGCAGAAAGTAGATGTTTACCTGAACAAAGAGATTGCTATCCTTCTGGAGAGAAATGCAGATGATGGCATTGTCAGCCTCTTTGTCACATCATCCCTTCCGCCAGAGGGAGATGGAAATCATTACCAAAGTCAAACATACCACAGACACAGACAGGCAATAATATCAGCACAGTTCAGTTTATTTACTAAAGCTGGAGAGTGCAAAATGAGGCTGATTTCTACATAGAAACCAATCAGCTTCCAGGTTTTACTGGCAAAGCTTAAAGTGTTACTAAACCTCGAACCCTGCATTCACTATATCTGGTCCCCCCGGACCCTGCATTCACTATATCTGGTCCCCCCGGACCCTGCATTCACTATATCCGGTCCCCCCGGACCCTGCATTCACTATATCCGGTCTCCCTGGACCCCGCATTCACTATATCCGGTCTCCCAGGACCCTGCATTCACTATATCTGGTCTCCCCGGACCCTGCATTCACTATATCCGGTCTCCCCGTACCCTTAATTCACTATATCTGGTCTCCCCGAAACCCTGTATTCACTATATTCGGTCTCCCAGGACCCTGCATTCACTATATCTGGTCTCCCCGGACCCTGCATTCACTATATCTGGTCTCCCCGGACCCTGCATTCACTATATCTGGTCTCCTCGGACCCTGCATTCACTATATTCGGTCTCCCAGGACCCTGCATTCACTATATCTGGTCTCCCCGAACCCTGCATTCACTATATTCGGTCTCCCAGGACCCTGCATTCACTATATTCGGTCTCCCAGGACCCTGCATTCACTATATCTGGTCTCCCCGGACCCTGCATTCACTATATCTGGTCTCCCCGAACCCTACATTCACTATATCCGGTCTCCCCGGACCCTGCATTTACTATACCTGGTCTCCCCGGACCCTACATTCACTATACCTGGTCTCCCCGGACCCTGCATTCACTATATCTGGTCTCCCACAGTACACACAACATAGAAATGCAATTATTTTAGTAAATATAAACTGCTAAATACCTTTTTCTCATCAGCAGTTAGAGCAGTCTTGTGACTTCAGCCAAGCACTGGCTAAAAGCTTGTAGGAGTTTTTTTTCTGCTCTAGGAGGATGTGAAACCCCCTGACCCTCTATCTGGACCACTGATTGGCCCTGTGATCACATGCATTCTCAAAAAAAAACGCTCTATAGCAATAAACACCAAACTCAGCATGTGTATGTGACCGCAGATTCAGTCTGTATCAGGTGGTCATTTCCACAAGAGGAGGGGCAGAGAAGAAAGAATCAAACAGCCTTTTTAGATAATGCAGAGGATTAACCCCTTAGGTTCCACAGTGAGTATAACAAGCATGCTTTATTTATTTATTTCAGGTACTTTATATAGCACCATCAATTTACGCAGCGCTTTACATATATATTGTACATTCACATCAGTCCCTAACCCTCAAGGGGCCGTACAATTACTGCATATACAGACTGATTTTACTGTAGTGGGTTTAGTAACACTTTAATTGAACAAGCTGAGGTTAGAAGCTGCAGACGTGAGTGTGATTTGTGCACTTTACAGCTTTATTATTATTATTATTATTATATACAGGATTTATATATTATTATTATTATACAGGATTTATATAGCGCCAACAGTTTGCTCAGCGCTTTACAATATAAATGGAGACAATACAGCAACAATACAGTTCAATACAAGAAGGTTAGGAGGGCCCTGCTCCTTGGAGCTTACTAGCTCCCTTGTCTCCTCCCATGCTCGTCTCCAGGACTTCTCCAGAGCTGCCCCCATCCTCTGGAACTCTCTACCCCCAATTTATCAGACTATCGCCTACTCTGCTCACTTTTAGGCGATCTCTGAAAACCTCTCTTCAGGGAAGCCTATCCTGCCCTCAGCTATTTATTTATTTCAGGTACTTATATAGCGCCGTCAATTTATGCAGCACTTTACATATATATTGTACATTCACATCAGTCCCTAACCCTCAAGGAGCGTACAATCTAAGATCCCTAACTCACATTCATACATACACATACTAGGGCCAAGTTAGACAGGATCCAATTCACCTACCAGTATGTCTTTGGAGCGTGGGAGGAAACCGGAGTACCCGGAAGACACCAACGCAGGCACAGGGAGAACATGCAAACTCCAGGCAGGTGGTGCCATGGTTGGGATTCGAACCAATGACCTGAGTACTGCCAGGCGGAAGTGTTAACCATTTAGCCACTGTGCTGCCCATATCAAAGATATTTTCCGTAAACAACGCAATCTACAAATTACGAGTTCAGTCAACCAGCAGAATTTGGTCACTCGTGAGGTTATTATTATTATACAGGATTTATATATTATTATTATTATACAGGATTTATATTATATTATACTTTTATTATTATTATTATACAGGATTTATATATTATTATTATACAGGATTTATATATTATTATTATTATACAGGATTTATATATTATTATTATTATACAGGATTTATATATTATTATTATTATTATACATGATTTTATATTATTATTATTATTATACATGATTTATATATTATTATTATTATACAGGATTTATATATTATTATTATTATACAGGATTTATATATTATTATTATTATACAGGATTTATATATTATTATTATTATACAGGATTTATATATTATTATTATTATACAGGATTTATATATTATTATTATACAGGATTTATATAGCACCAACAGTTTGCTCAGTGCTTAATATAAACAGGAGACAATACAGCAACAATACATTTCAATACAAGAGGGTTAGGAGGGCCCTGCTCCTTGGAGCTTATTAGCTCCCTTGTCTCCTCCTCCCATGTTCGTCTCCAGGACTTCTCCAGAGCTGCCCCCATCCTCTGGAACTCTCTACCCCAATCCACCAGACCATCGCCCACTCTGCCCACCTCTAGGTGATCTCCGAAAGCCCCTCTTCAGGGAAGCCTATCCTGCCCTCAGCTATTTATTTATTTCAGGTACTTATATAGCGCCGTCAATTTACACAGCTTTAGTAAATAAACCCCAGTATCTCTTACCTTGAATGTCAATGCCTAGTTTCTTCTCCACTCTCGTTACAATCTTCCTGACAGCCTCACTGTGTGATGGAACATATGCCAGCTCCCAGGACCCCTTGTGAGTGAAGTTAGGTAGAGCAGGAAACTGCATAGCCTCAAAGTATGTAGCATTGGGGAAATTCGCAGACTCTACCCTATGCCTTAAGGCGATAAGAATGGCAGAAAACAGCAGTGGAAGAGCCAATTCAATCACTGTAACAACCACCTGGCGTTTCTGTGAAAAGAAAAAGCAAATTTATATCGTATATCAGAAGAATGGGCAGAGAAACCCCCAAAAACCTACCTCCAGACAAACAATTTGCATGCAAAGGTGATCTGTAATTTACGGATAAAGAGGGGTCATGTCAAGGTTGCCATGTATACCCATAGGAGGGTCACACCCGGGAGAGATTCCAAGTGCAACATCTAGCATAGAGAGCATATCATTCTAGTAAACAATTGTGGACACCTCCATTGGATCAGCTTCACCTCTTCCACATTTTGAGCAGATTATCATTCAGAGAAAAGTCATTACATAATCCTATTTTGAAAAGGAACTGGGGTGTATGGTATGTAGGATACAAAATTGGATTAGCCTGATTATGATAAGGGAATATTGAGTATCACACTAAGAATCTCCTCCCATTAATCCTCAGAGATGTTCCCCAAGTCTTGTTCCCACCGTTGATGCCTTTGCTAAGGAAATTTGAGATATTTAGCTGGTAAAAGTGTATAAAGGTTTGGGAAGTTGAATAGATGAGAGATATGAAATCATGTCTGACACCTCTGATAAAGGGTTTGATAAAACTGTTCAACTGTGGATAATACGCCCTCAGGATCTTTCACTATAATCCCTTGGGGAGTATGAATACACGATGTAGAGATTGGAGTATAAGAGGGTCATGCCAGAAAAGCCAAAAGGCAATCATTCTTGTCCCCAAACTCAAAAAATGCCCTGATTTTGTGCAGCTGTCTCCTACTAGATTGTCCCACCAACAGCAAACGGTAGACCTGCCAAGTACCATTATCAGTAAGGGATGGATCACGTATATAGAAATGTTCGGCCGTGGTTACCTGATCTCCCAGCTGCTCTACATCCACCGCCAAGGCTCTAGAAAAGTCTTTGACCTCTTTCATATACAGGTGAAACTCGAAAAATTAGAATATCGTGCAAAAGTTCATTTATTTCAGTAATGCAACTTAAAAGGTGAAACTAATATATGAGATAGACTCATTACATGCAAAGCAAGATAGTTCAAGCCGTGATTTGTCATAATTGTGATGATAATGGCTTACAGCTCATGAAAACCCCAAATTCACAATCTCAGAAAATTAGAATATTCCATGCAATCAATAAAACAAGGATTGTACATAGAACAATATCGGACCTCTGAAAAGTATAAGCATGCATATGTACTCAGTACTTGGTTTGGGCCCCTTTTGCAGCAATTACTGCCTCAATGAGGCGTGGCATGGAAGCTATCAGCCTGTGGCACTGCTGAGGTGTTATGGAAGACCAGGATGCTTCAATAGCGGCCTTCAGCTCTTCTGCATTGTTCGGTTTCATGTCTCTCATCTTTCTCTTGGCAATGCCCCATAGATCCTCTATGGGGTTCAGGTCAGGCGAGTTTGCTGGCCAATCAAGCACAGTAATCTCACGGTCATTGAACCAGGTTTTGGTGCTTTTGGCAGTGTGGGCAGGTGCCAAGTCCTGCTGGAAAATGAAATCAGCATCCCCATAAAGCTCGTCTGCGGAAGGAAGCATGAAGTGCTCCAAAATCTCCTGGTAGACAGCTGCGTTGACCCTGGACTTAATGAAGCACAGTGGACCAACACCAGCAGATGACATGGCTCCCCAAATCAACACAGACTGTGGAAACTTCACACTGGACTTCAAGCATCTTGCAGTGTGTGTGTGTGCCTCTCCATTCTTCCTCCATACTCTGGGTCCTTGGTTTCCAAATGAGATGCAAAAGTTGCTCTCATCAAAAAAGAGGACTTTGGACCACTGAGCAACAGACCAGGTCTGTTTTCTTTAGCCCAGGTAAGACGCTTCTGACGTTGTTTGTTGTTCAGGAGCGGCTTGACAAGAGGAATACGACATTTGAAGTCCATGTCCAGGATCTGTCTGTGTGTGGTGGCTCTTGATGCACTGACTCCAGCCTCAGTCCACTCCTTGTGAAAGTCCCCAACACTTTTGAATGGCCTTTTCCGGACAATCCTCTCCAGGCTGCGGTCATCCCTGCTGCTTGTACACCTTTTTCTTCCACACTTTTCCCTTCCACATAATTTTCTATTAATGTGCTTTGATACAGCACTTTGGGATGATCCAACTTCTTTTGCAGTTACCTTTTGAGGCTTTCCCTCCTTATGGAGGGTGTCAATGATGGTTTTCTGCACAACTGTCAGGTCAGCAGTCTTTCCCATGATTGTGATTCCTACTGAACCAGACTCAGAGACCATTTAAAGGCTCAGGAACCCTTTGCAGGTGTTATGGCTTAATTAGCTGATTAGAGTGGGACACTTTGAGCCGAGAATATTGCACCTTTTCACAATATTCTCATTTTCTGAGATTGTGGATTTGGGGTTTTCATGAGCTGTAAGCCATAATCATCACAATGATGACAAATCACGGCTTGAACTATCTTGCTTTGCATGTAATGAGTCTATCTCATATATTAGTTTCACCTTTTAAGTTGCATTACTGAAATAAATGAACTTTTGCACGATATTCAAATTTTTTGAATGATTGATTTTCAAAACCATACAAATATTGACAATCTATACAGTGGTATCCTCAGCTAATACATGTACAAAACATGTCCACACTATCACAATCTTCCCCACTGGAAGATTTCCCCTCTGTTACTTTTCTGGGGAAAACCAAAAATTTGGGATTTTCGTTTACT